ACTGCTATCACTACTGTCATATTACTACTGCTACCACTACTACTACGAATACGACTCGTACCATCACGACGACTACTACTGCCACCGCTACGCATTTTTTTTACGGCTAAGACTGCTACTATTACTACTACTACTACTACTACTACTACTACTACTACTACTCCTACTACTGTTACTGTTATTGCTATTACGACCATCGCGATTACTAATACTACTACGATTACGGCTACTACTACTACTACTGCTACTACTACTGCGGCTACGATTGTTGTTTTTACTCGTACAAATACTAATATCAATTGTACTACGACTACTACTGCCACGAGTACTACTATTACTACCACTACTACTACTACTACTACTACTACTACTACTACTACGAATCCTTTTATTATCATTACTTCTTCTACAACTACTACTGCTACTACGACTAGTACTACTGCTACTACTACTACTACTATTGCTACTACTACTACTACTACTACTACTACTACTGTGACTACTAGTGCTACTACTACGACTATTACTATTAGTACTACTACTAATGTTACTGCTACTATTATTATTACTACTATAGCTACTACTACTACTACTACTGCTACTACTTATGCTGCTACTACTACTACTACTACTACTACTTCTAGAACCATTATTATTATTCCGACTTCAACTACAACTACAACGACAACGAGACGGATATCGCCCCCACCCCCAGCGCCCCCTAGAGTCGCGAAGTGCAACGCCCGCCACGCAATGAAACCATGTGTGCCTGAAACGGATCGCGCCCACCATTCTTGTGCACCCTTTCTGGCGTCGAACCAGTGCCACGCCTGCCACGCCCTGCGAGCCTGAAGCGGCTAGTGCCCCCGCCCCCAAAGCCCTCTGGCATTGAAGAAGTGCCGCGTCTGCCTCGCCCTGCAACCTTGAGACGGATAGCGCCCCCCCACCGTCTGCGCACCCCCTCTGGCATCGAGACAATGCTACGCTTGCCGCGCCCTCCGAGCTTGAAACGGATAGCGCCCCCACCCCAGGCGAACCCCCTTCTGGTGCCGAAGAAGGGCCACGATTGCCACCCCCTGCGAGACTCAGACGGATAGCGCCCCCAACCTTTTGCGCGCCCCCCTGGCTTCGAGGAAATGCCGCGCCTGCCACGCTCCGCGACGCTGAGACGGATGGCGCCCTCGCCCCCGACGCACCCCTCCTTGCGTCGAGAAAGCAAGCAGTGCTGGCCGCACCCTGCGCGCCTGCAGCGCATAGCGCGCGCACCCTTGTCTGGCGTCGAGAAAGTGCCGCGCCTGCCGCCCCCCGCGAGCCTGCAGTGCATAGAGACCGCGCCCCCTGCGCACCTTTTTTGGCGTCGAGAAAATGCCACGCGTGCCGCGCCTTGCAAGCCTGCAGCGCATAGAGACCGCACCCCTCGCACACCCTTTATGGTGTCGAGAAAATATCCCGCCCGCCGTGCCCTGCGAGCCTGCGACGCATGGAAACCGCACCCACTGCGCGCCCACTCTGGCGTCGAGGAAGTGCCACGCCTGCCGTGCCCTGCGAGCCTGCAACGCATGCAGACGGCATCCCTTGCGCACCCCTTCTGGTGTCGAGCAGGTGCCACGCTTGCCGAGTCCTGCGAGCCTGCAGCGCATTGAGGCCAATCCCTGCGCACCCCTTTCCGGTGCCGGGAAAGTGACGCGCCTGCCGAGTCCTGTGAGCCTGCAACGCATAGATACCGCACCCCCTGTGCACCTCTTCTGGTGTAGAGAAAGTGTCGCGCCCGCCGTGCCTTGCGAGCCTGCAACGCATTGAGGCCGCACCCCCTGCGTTCCCCCTCTGGTGTCGAGAAAGTGCCACGCCTGTTGTGAGCCTGCAACGCATAGAGACCGCACCCCCTGCGCACCTCTTCTGGTGCCGCAGAAGTGTTACGCCCGCCGTGCCTTGCGAGCCTGCGACGCATGGGGACCGTACCCACTGCGCAACCCCCTCTGGTGTCGAGCAGGTGCCATGCCTGCCGTGCCCTGCGAGCCTGCAACGCATGCAGACGGCACCCCTTGCGCACCCCTTTTCTGGTGCCGAGAAAGTGCTACGCCCGCCGTGCATTGCAACGCATAGGGACCGCACCCTTGCGCACCCCTTCTGGTGCCGAGCAAGTGCCACGCCTGCCGTGCCTTGCGTCTGTGTCTATGTTTGTGCTGTGTGGCGTGTGGTGTGTAAGTGTTTGATGTGTGTGCGGCCTTGTTTATGGTGTGCATGCGGGCGCGTGCATGCGTGCTGTTGTATGTAGACGCGCGTCTTATGCACGCGCAAGGCATGTGTCGCGCGTGGGTGGGGGGAGGAAGAAAGAGAAGGAAGGGAGGAGGGAGGTGAGGTGTGTGAGCTTCGCGGGGTCGACGCGGGTGGGCAGATGACAAGAACCCCGCTAAGCATGTGGCGAAGAAGGCGAATTGAATGTGAAATGGGTTGGCATGAGAAATCACACGGGGAGGGGCCAGATCCCAGGCGTAGAGGATGTCGATCGGGTCTGAATGATTGAAACGTAAGAGGATCTGCATGCGTGGAACAGCTCCCAGGCTTACTGATCTTGATTTGAGTAAATTCAGATAAGGGTTCATTATGGGAAAGGATCAGGTCCCATATTCAAACAGTTACATTTTGATTTCCGAGACAGTCACAGACGCATGTCATAGGAATGGGCGGGGTCTCGGATTCATAGAATTCGAATTGGATGCGATTTGGCTTACAATCCGATTCAGTACGAATGGAGCAGACCAGGTCTAACACATGTCGGTTGAAGCTAGTACAACAATTGTGTATGACTTCTGAAACATCTGAACAGGGTTCAATATTAACAGAGCAAAGCTATAGGAATGGAACACCCTTCAGCGGGATCGGAACGAAGCACTGTCAAAACACATGGTCTCGACCTTGTAATAACATTGAGCACTCAACTCGCAGGCTTCGGTGGCACCATGACCAAACAACAAGGAGGTTTAAACTGTTGAAAACGTAAAGCACCCTTCACACGGTTCGCAAATGTTTGATTACAATAACACACACAATGTGCTTGTAGTTTGCTCACAAAGAAAAATAAGAACATCGAATGCTGCCTTCACAATGCTCGCCGGCCTCGCGACAGACAACGCGACGTGTTCCAATGATATAGAACAAGAGAGCGCACCCCCCAGAAGGATCGCGAGGATCATATACAACAGCATGTGTTGTTGTCGAGCATATAGGAACCAGAGCGCACCCTTTACAGGTTGCTTTGGCCTCATGACAAACATACAGTGCACCCTCAAGATTTCGAAGGAACAGGATGCAGCCCTTACGGGGATTGCAAGGGACAGGTCCCAAGCACACAATTTTTAAATTGCCTTAGTGCTACTTCAGGTGAATTTCAGCATGGGAATCGCATGGTGCCAATGCAGAGAACCATGTGTTTTAAGTTGGAGTTTTGTTTTGGGAGCCCAACAACCAGTGAACTCCGAACGTTTTGAAATCTCGTGCCATTGAGCCATCTGTTTGAATTGGCAATCCCGTTTTCGTGTTAGAGGTGTCGCAGACACTTGTGTTTTAATTGCCTAGTTTGTGCTTCTGCTGCTTGCAGCTCCGATTGAATTGCAGCGCCGACCTGGGCCCATCCACTTCGGTCGCTGCAAACTCAAGACAACAATCCGTTTTATCATTATTATTTTAAAGAAAAGACTTCTGCGAACCAGTGTACAACACAATTGACAATTAAAGCATATGGTTTTGTGGCATGACAATTGAAAACCGTAGGTGCTCATTACTTGTGGCCTCCACAAACCAATTCCCAATACAAAAGCATATGGTATCTTCGCATTTGCCTTATGAGATCTCCACATTGGAAATCATATGTATCATACCAAAAAGCCGCACTCAATTGGAGGTCCGATCCACACGATACATTTAAGTTTTACATTGTTTTCGTGCCACGAAACAAACCACTGTTTCTTTGTTTTTTTTTGGCCGTGGGACCAAGGAAATATGTAAGGGGTGGGTTTTGTTGTTTCAGGATCGGTTGTTTTGCTTGCTGTACAGCAGTACAAAACAAACTGTTTTGGGGTATCCGGGCCGTTCCACTCATCGAGGGGCTTCCAGCTTGATGCTTAAACGTTAAACCTTCAAACCACACTTGTATTCTCGTCTTCGGACACATGAAACCTGTGAGGGGTGCGTATTTTTGCGACAACAAACATGCCAATCACATTGTGTTTTTTGGCCCTGACCCCCACGACTCTTGTGACGGGTGCGTTCGCTTTGATCACATGTTTGAGCCCCTATATTCAACTGAAATCCGTTTATTATTATTTGAATATGGTTTTTGCTTCTGTGCTATTGCATTCCGATTTGGAATTATTCAAATCAATGCGAATTTGTTTTCACTTGGGATCGGCTCAGTTTCTGTAGCGTTCCGAAGTCGATCCAGATCAGATCCATTTGAAGTCCTCTGAATCTGGGGCTTGCTCAATTCTGATTGAATCTTATGGGGTTCACATCCAAATCCATAAGAAAATCTCTGCGTCCGGGGCCTGCTTCACTGCGACCAGAAAGTATTGGATTCTTTAATCCAGTAGACTTCCTTTGAATATGGGGGAAAGGCGATGAGGAGGAAGGAATCAAGTCTGTTGAAGGGGAGAAGGTGGGTCCTTGAGGAAGCAGCATGTTATTCACATATGTCCCTCTCGTTATCTCTCCCTCTCTTTTTTCGATATCTTCCTGTATCTCTTCCATCTCTCTCTCGCTCGCTGTTTCTCTTTCTCTATGTCTCTCACTCTCACTATCTCTCTCTCTCTCTTTCTCTGTCTCTCTCTCTCTCTTTCTCTTTCTCTCTCTATATATTTCTCTTTCACAACATAATAATTTCCATCATGCGCATCTAGATCTACATGTATGACCCTATTAGTGCTCTCTTCCTCTTTCCCCTGTCCCATCTTACGAAGCAGCGAATCGATCGCTCAAGTTGCTCCTTTAATGGGCACCCTAAGGTCTTCAACATTCGGGGACCTCCACGGAAAGAGCAGGACCGGCAGTTAAGCATGTTACAAATTTCGTGCATTTCGTTCAATCCACACAGACCTTCGCATGTCTTGCATCTTGCCTGGCCGATCGGCTCCATGTTTTGCGAACGGCGCGCATGGCCGTTAGTATTGCACGTTCTTGTGATCATGTTGTCTATGCATCAGAAGGCGTTGCTTTGCCATGTGCGTTTCTCTTGCGCAGGGGCGCGCTTGCAGCATGCAAAGTGAGAGCGCAAGAGCGACGGAGAGGTGGACTCGGAGGAGATGTCGGGTAGGGTGTGTGCCCCAGCGCACGTGTGTACAGGCCCGTGGTGGCCGCTCGAGAAGGGTTTTGATGGTCGCCGATAGCCGTACGAACGGGCACAGTGCATGTTCTTAAGTATGCCATTGGTGCCCTCGGCTATTAGTGTCGTCCCCAACAGCTTTCGCAACAGTTGGCACCACTACAACCACCGCCACCCTGATTATTACGGCTTTAAGCACGTCCAACATTCAGACAGCAGAGACCAATCCCATTCAACTTCGACGCCCCTCATCTACGTCGATTATAACGAGGTCGCCAGCAATGGTGCCAACGGCTGTCGTGACGACGACGACGACGACCGCACAGATCAAGACGACGTTGCGTAGCAGCATCACTCATAGCAGCATTAGCGCAACCAGCAACACCATAGTGACCAGCACGCTTGGATCTGACAGAATCACGCGCAGCAGCGCCAGCGCAACCAGGGCACGACGGGTATCAGTATTGTTGTTGAGATCAGCAGTGCGACTCACAGCAGCATTAGCGAAGCCAGTACCAACACACCACCACGACTGGCAGAAGCACGCGCAGCATTACCAGTGCACCTAGCAACACAATTGAGACCAGCATGATGAGAGCCAGCATTAAAATTCGCAGCAGCACTTGCTCAACCCAGCAGCACCATGGTCATCAGCACGACGGGAACCAGCAGCACCATTCGTAGCAGTATCCTTGCAATGCCACTGCGATCAGCCGTGGCCAGCACGACGGGAACCATCAGGACCACTCGCAGCATCACCATTGGATCCACTTGCTCTACCGTGGTCAGCACGACGGAAGCCAGCAACCTTACCGTAACCAGCAGCACGACGCGCAGCAGCGTTAGCGCAACTAGCAGCACCATCGAGACCAGCAGCGCGACCAGCGGAACGACCGCAACTAGCTCGATGCGAAACAGCGTTAACCCCTCGCAGCGGCCCTATCACACCGTTCAGCACCAGTGCGACAAGCAGCGCAATCAGCAGGACCACCGTGCTGCGCAGAGGACGGCGGAGCCAGGTCCAGGCGCCACCTTCTGAAGCCCTGGCCACGCGAGTGCCCAGCAGGTGGCGCCTCACCGACGCACTCACGAAGCTCGTGCCGACCAGGCAGACAAGGACGTTTTGACCAGTGCTACGATCAGCTCTCAAAATCTATCTTTTTGTCGGATCTCAATTGCAAGGGCGAGCTGGTGACGGCGAATGCAGATGCCAGTCAGGTTTCACCCTCAGGAGTGTGGTCGTCCGGACCTCGAGAATCATACTCTATGGCAGAAGGCCCACCTCAGATGCAAGGGCGGGCCAGTGACGACGAGCGCGGATACCAGACGGATTTTCCTCGGAAGCCCAGCCGTTCGGGCCTCGAGAGGCATGCTCGGCGAGTGGAAGAGCGGCTCACCAGGTCAGGTCGGCGGCAGGCTCGGTTCGACGTTGCAGCCTCGGGGGTGCATGCTTGCATGTGACTTTCTGGTGAGCCTCTGCGTGCCGACACGCTAGTAGCAATGCAAGCAGGAGGGATTGGTAGGTATGTTGAGCGCACGGCTGCTCCGTTGCTCAATTCTTGCCCGGCGTGGCCATTTTGCTGGCTGCGCTCGAGCCTTCTTTCACAGTGACGTGGCCGGCTAGAGAACTCGCTGATGGAGTTCAACGTCGATGCCGTCTTCTTGTTTTTGCTGTTGTTTATCCTCTTCCATTTTCTCTTGCTCCTCCTCCTCCTCCTTTCCTCCTCCTTTTCATCGTTCTCATTCTCGGTATCCTCCTCATCCTCCTGCTTGCCCTGTTCCTCCTCCTCCTCCTTGTCCTCCTCGATGGGTACGCTCGTCTTCTTGTCCTCCTCGTTGTCTTCCTCATTACCCTCCTCCTCCCCCTCCTCCTCCGCTACCCTCCCCCCATGATCGGAAAACGATAGGGAGGAGTCCTGAAGCAGGGCCTGCAGGCCCCAGATGGCCCCAAGAGGGCTCTCACAATACCACAAGGCCCCAAGTAGTAGCACTCGGAGGGAAGGGGAAGGCTCACTGCTCATAGAGGGAAAAAGCCAAGGAGGAGAGAGGACAATCGGGGTGGGGCCGCCCGTCCGAGGGGCCTTTTGTCAGGCCCACTGCGGAGTTCCGCCCCCCACAGCGAGAGCCCGACAGGCAGAACACCACCGCAGATGATTCCGGTCAGCAGGCGCGCCGGACCGGAACGGAAACGGAAAACAGAACCCTGGAGCAGAAAACGAAAATCCGTTTTCCGTTTTCCGTTTTCCGGTTTCCGTTTTCTGGTTTCCGTTCCATGGTTTCCGTTTTCCGGCTTCCGGTTTGGGCAGAAAGCGAAGTTGCGTTTTCCGTTTTCCTTTTTCGGGTTTCCGTTTTCCGGTTTCCGGATTCTGTTTTCCGTTTTCCGGTTTCCGGTTTCCGTTTTCCGTTTTCCGGTTTGGGCAGAAAACGAAGTTCCGTTTTCCGTTTTCCGGTTTCCGTTTTCCGTTTTCCGGTTTCCGGTTTTCCGTTTTCCGGTTCCCGTTTTCCGGTTTTTGGTTTTTGTTTTCCGGTTTCCGGTTTCCGCTTTCCAGTTTCCGTTTTCCGCTTTCCGTTTTCCGGTTCCCGGCTTGCGAAGTTATGTTTTCCGTTTTCCAGTTTCCATTTTTCGTTTTCTGGTTTCCGGGTTCCGTTTTCCGTTTTCCGGTTTCCGTTTTCCGTTGTCCGTTTTCTAATTTGCGTTTTATTGCTTGCCGCCCGCACCCAGCACAGGCTTCCCCCCCCTCTTGTCGTCAAAAGCTGGTACACCGAGGGGCCGTTCTTGTGGAGTTGGGCTTCAGTTTACTTTCGGTACGCCTCGTCCAGACAAGCTCAACATTTGCCAGGGCACAAGTCAAGAGGTCGACAGTTGCATTCGAATGCCTGGTGACTGTACGGCACCACGGGCACCGGCGGATTGGCGCCAGAAGGTCCAGACTCTCCGGCCAGAGCTTCGCTACTCTCCCCGTCATCCACGCCGTCATCCTCGTCATCGGCCGCCTTGTCGTCGCCCACTTCCTTTTGTTGGTTTACGTTCGAGCCTAACGGACAAACGCGGCGCTCTGCGTTCTTGTCCGCTCAGGTTGGCGCCAGAGGGTCAGGAGTCTCCGGCCAGAGCCTCGCGAGCCGATGGCGGTGCTGATCGTCCCCCCGACCCTCTCTCGCTGCGCCGGGCGGCCTGGCCGTTGCCGCTCGGGCGGTGCGGCAGGACGGCCGTGCCAGGCCAGCTCGTGGGTTCTCCGCGGCATGGCCAATGAGAGCTGGGAATGGGAACCCCGGATCTCTGGGCTCCGCCTCGACGGCAGGGGCCCCGAAACAGCTCGGGGAAGCTGGGCGACCACACGAGCGGCTCTCAAAAGCGGGCCTCGCGCGAGATGGCACAGCGGCCTTACGCCACAGCTTACGCGGGACGCGAGCGCGGCACGCTGCGTTTTTTTCCACGATCAAGAGCGGGCCCTACGCGAGATTGCATAGCGGCCTAACGCGGCGGCTTGAGCGGGCCGCCAGCGACGATAAGATTGGTTCGATCTGGGCCGCGTCCCTCGATCTCGACCTCTGGGGCCCGTCTTTCGGGCCTCGGGGCCACCAGCATGGGATCCACGGGGCGAGGCGCTACCCCCAGGGGCAGGAGTCGGGAGCTGCTGGGGGGTCGCGGATTGAACAAAAAATCAGACAGCCGGACCGAGGTACAAGATCGAGGTCGGCTCGTGGAGGGTAACCTATTGTTCTTCGTGTTTGTGCGATGTTCCACGCGCTCAGGGCGTGACCCGTCCCCTTGAGAGGCCTCGCTCCCTTCCCGCCCCCTCCTTCGGCCGCTTCCTTTGCCCTGCCCCCCTCTCCTGCATGGTGGCACACTTCGCTACAACGGCACCCCCGTTTAGTTAGCTCTCCGCCAGCGCAGTTACTCAGCCTAGCCGCCGACGCAAAAAAAAAAAAAAAAAAAACAGTTTGTGGGATGTTTTGGGGGCATCCTGGGGGGTGAGATTCTCGAGTGATCGTATGGTTTGGGTTGTTTTGGCCGGCGGATGGCCTCGTGTTCTTGTGGGATGTTCTTCAGTCCTGGCTCCGATTGCATTGGAGGATGTCTGGAACCGACGCCGAGCTCCCCCGCCCCACGTCTGCTGCTTACCGCCTGCCCCCCCGCCAACCAACAGTCTTCCCTCCCCAGTCAAAGATTGATGCACCGAGGGGGGCTGTTCCCGCGGAGTTGGGGTTCAATTCAACTTCGGCGTGCCCTGTTCACTTGGATTTCGTTCCTCATGTGGCAAAGATCAAGAGGTCCACGGATGCATTACATTGATCCGTGCGTTCGCAGATATGGCCGCGCCCGAGCAGGAGGAGGGGCCAGAGGTCGTTCTCTGGCCTGGGAGATTTGCACTTCTCCTCGGCAAGCGCCAGAGAAAGTGGCCTGGCGGCGCCGATGGGCACCTAGCACCGCTGGCGAACACAGATGGCGGGAACGAGGAGAGCCTAACCGCTTCTCCCTTTTGGGCTTAGCTGGTTCTCGCGCTCGGTGACGATGAGCAGGCCACGCAGTTCTCGCAAGCAGGGCCTGACTTCCACGAGTGGGAGTTCGCCAGCCACGCGCGGGTCACAGCTCGGGGGTCATTCATGGAGAGGTTCGGTCGAAACTTAACCAAGGCTGGGATCGACCCTCTCCGAGTTCTCGTCCCGCGAGGCTACTTCAGAAGATGGCACTGGCCAGGTCAGACAGAGCGAGCCGGAAAGAT